GGAGGCGGCGGCGGGGGGAGGGGAAGGGGGGAGAGAGAGATTTTACGAAACGAGAGAGAGAGAGAGGAACGGACTTGAAACGAGAGAGAGAGGGGATCGGGTCGGGATTTGATAAATGACAGGGGTTGGGGTGGAATTTGAAATCACTTGTTTTGGGCTTCCAAAGGCGGCGGCGGGGGGAGGGGAAGGGGGGAGAGAGAGATTTTACGAAACGAGAGAGAGAGAGAGGAACGGACTTGAAACGAGAGAGAGAGGGGATCGGGTCGGGATTTGATAAATGACAGGGGTTGGGGTGGAATTTGAAATCACTTGTTTTGGGCTTCCAAATTCCTTTTTGTTAAATCAATTGATTTAAAATCTTAGCTCAAATCAGAACCCAAACTAAAGATTTGGATTTGAAATACCCTGGATTTTAAATCCAAGCCCAAATCCAAGTTCCCAAACGCAGCCTTAACAAATTTCGAAGGCCAACATCCTTTAAACATGGATCAATAAGAACCCCCAAACCAAAAATAATAGCAATAGGCCTAAAATACTTATTAAATTTACTTTCTATTTGAAAAATCATATTTTTAAAATAATTATCCATACAATAATTATTAAAAAAAGCTTGAATGTTTAAAACTTATAAAGCATTTTCAATAATAGTTGGATAATAATAACCAGATAGTAACGTAGTATCATCATATAAAATTTGTAACATCTTTTTTACACTATATATAACTAATCATTCATCCTCAGTTATTCCATACATATTACCAGAGCTAGAACTAGAAGTATAGAAAACAATAAAATCATTTATAATTTTTTTATACTCTATTGTTACATTTAACATTACATAGGTAGAATTTCACCTATGTTCAACATCTTTTAGAATTAATCTGGGTTTAAATTTTTTTTTCTTTTACACAATTATTTCTATCTTTTAAGTCTTTATTCAGAAGTATTATGAGCATAAACTATTACCCAACCTTTTCTATCATGGATTTAATTTTACCAAATATACTTTGAATAATTAAATTTCAAATATAACACGTACGTCTAATATAGAAAGTATCACCATGACATTGTAATAACAAAGATGATTTGATATGATCAACAACTATATTATTATTACTTGTATTATCTAGTGAAAGAGAAAATATTTTTTCTAAAATTTCTAATTATATAAGTTATTCTATTATTAAATTTACAATAGTAATACCACTATGTGAATCTTCAAATGTAATAAAAGAAATAATTTTTTTAAACATTTGTCAATTATCATCAATCCAGTGTGCTGTGATATATAAATAACCAGTTTATCCTCTAGATGTCCAAATATCAGAAGTTAAAGAAAATTTACAGTTTAAATTTTAAAAATAAAAAATTATTTTTGCTTGTTCCTTGTGATACTATTTTAAAATATCACATTGATAAGATTGATAAGAAAATTTTTTAAATGCGGGATAAAAATCATTTGTAATTATATCTTCAAATTCATCATCTTCTACTAATTTAAAAGGAAGATTTTTAAGAATACTAAACTTAATGACGTATTTATTAGCTTTAATTGTGTCATAGTTCCAACTACCGAGACTATCGGAGGATGAGGATTAGGAGAGTAAAAATTATCGGATATCACCTTGAGGCATTGCCTGACCTCTGTTGTTCTTTTCTAAATGGCGTTTGAGGTGGTTGTTACCGCTTTTATGATGAGCATGGAAAATATGACCGCATAACACACACTAAGCTATCTGGGTGAGAAGCCTACAATGTTGATCTCTGGTGACTTCTATCTTCTCGACGAAGTTCCACACATCGGATCTCGTCTTTTTAGGAGCTCTAGGTGCAGAATCATCGCCACTGGATTCGTGATCAATATCAGTAGGAGGAGTAACTATAGCTCCTGTAGTAGGACTATTAGGACTCGTTTCAACATCGGGAGTTGAGATTTGCTCTTCATAATCAGAGGAAGCTATTTGATTGAAGAATTAGAGAGCAAAAGTGAGAATAAGAAAATATTAGAGAGTATTAGAGAGAAGTAGATGAGTTTTGGATGAGAAAAATAAATAAAAACTCCCTCTATTTATAGAGATAGCCCCCTAGCCAAATGAGCAAAATACCCTCAAATTTTAGCTCTTTTTAATTATTTTTTGGGAGTATTTTGGTCAAAAACGCAAAAATGGCCGTTCGGCCCGACCGGATTGGGCCCAGGCCGGCCCGATCGACCCGACCAAACGGTCACATTCGTGTAACGATTTGACCCCCCTGTTCTCGCTGCCGGCGCAACCGCTTTCTCCAACATGTCCGAACTCCGCCGCCTCGAATCCGGGCCAAGTCTCGCGAGATCGCTCTTTTTTTTTTTTGCCGGCCGGCGCGCCGGACGAAGCCGAGCATGCCACGGCACCGGACACAAGCAAGCCGGGCCTGGGCTTGGAGCCCGGATAAGCTCGGATTTTCTAGCCATGCCCGGACCGAGCCTAGGCCTTGGGCCCAAATGGACAGGCCTAACCGCCCTCATATCAAATTGACCTAAATGTCGTTTAGTAATGAAAAAAATCCATATATCCTTAGTTTTATGTTTTATGCTGGGGTTATTTGGGTAATTTGAAATTGCACACTAACACTGTTTGGGGTATGTCGGGAAAGTTATATAAGCTTTTTTTAGGGGGGGAGAGGGGGGCAGTTGGTTATTTGCGATAGCCCAAAGTTCAGGGAGTTTATTGGAATAAAAAAGTTTAGGGTTATTTCATGGGAACACTCCATTGTTTTTGTGGATTCTACAATATTTCCCAAAAAAGAAAAAAAAAGAGGAAGCTAAATAAGAGATGATTGTGCAAAAGTTAGTAACATTGTCACGTGTGTTTCTGATATATAGTTGCAGGGTATGGGTATTATGTAAAACAGAAACATGGGATAAAAATCATGAATTGGTCTCGATGTATCTTTTAAGTTTGCAGTTACACCTGACTAAATTCTTATGAGGAACATGCTAATGTGTGAAAATGAGGTGTAAGGTATTATATTTTTCCTATGTATTGCTCTTTTTTCTTTCTTGAGGAAGGACACTTTGGTTTCAAATCATGCCATTTATATCTATTCTTTCGATGCTTTTGTTTCTTTCCTTCACTTTCATCCACTCAATACATTTTCTATTTTCACTCAATTCCTATAACCGCGAACTATATTGGTAGGTGATTGTAGGATGTACAATAGTTCTACACCTCTCTCTTTACCATTGTTTCCATCTTCTTCTCTCAAGAAACCCCTTCAGCGGCTAGCTTTTTTTTAAAAAAAAATTAAGCAACCATATTATAGGAGCTACCCGTTGACAATCCTCCACCTCTGTCGCCGGTAAGTTTCAAAATATCTCTATCTGTTTCTCCAATATGTTTCCTTCCATTTACATCAACTTTTGAAATCTACAATTGGCGCATTTTATAGAAATGGGGAAGCCCACAACCAAGAAGAAGAAGGGCTCTGTAAATGGCAAATCAACTGATTCCACTAATATAAAGCACAACAGTAGCCCCAAGATGTTCGACGAAGACACCACCATCTTCATTGACATGTCCCAAGACATGAAAGAAGAGGGCAACAAGATTTTCCAAAAGAGAGATTATGAAGGAGCCGTTGTACTCTATGAGAAAGCCATCAAACTCCTCCCGAAGAATCACACAAATATTGCCTATCTCCGTAGCAACCTTGCTGCTTGCTATATGCATATGGTCCCCTCAGAATTTCGACAAGCAATCAACGAGTGCAATTTGGCCCTCGAGGCCTCCTCTAATTATTCTAAAGCCTTATTAAAGAGGGCTCGGTGTTATGAGGCTTTGAACCGCTTTGAGTCTGCCTGTAAAGATATTGATTCTGTATTGGCTCTTGAGCCAAACAATATCACGGCGCTGGAGATATTGGAGAGGATCAAGTTGGAAATGGAGAAGAAGGGGATCATGTTGGATGATAAAGAGATGGTACCTCCTCTCCAAATTCCAATTGTGAGTGAGAAGACGGTAAAGGAGAAGAGTAAGAGAAAGAAGAGTCACAAGGTAGAGGATAAGGTTTTCTCCGAAATAAAGAGCTTTAAGAAGGAGAAGCCAATGAAAATTGTGAAATTGGTATTTGGAGAGGATATAAGGTGTGTTCAATTACCTGAATGTTGTAGCATAATGCAAGTGAAGGAGGTTGTTCGAAATAGATTTCCAAGATTGAAAGCTATATTTGTCAAGTATAAGGATAAGGAAGGTGACTTGATCACGATAACCACAACAGAAGAGTTGAGATGGGCCGAAGAGTCTGCAGATCCACAGGGCTCGATGAGGCTCTACATTGTAGAAGTAAATAATAATAATATGGAGCACGAGTCATTTATGTCTGAGGAGGGAGCAAAAGTACCAGAAACAGCAAGAAAACCTGACCAGAATTTCTTCAGCTTTTCTGATAGTGGGAGCATGAAATATTCCGAGGCCGAGGGTCCTTCACCTTGCATTGATAACTGGATAATTCAGTTTGCTCGATTGTTCAAGAATCATGTAGGTATCAATTCTGATGCATGTTTAGATCTTCATGAGCTTGGGATGAAGCTCTACTCTGAGGCTATTGAAGATGCTACTACTAGTGAAGAAGCTTAAGAAATATTCAAAACTGCAGAGGAGAAGTTTCAGGAGATGACAGCTGTCGCCTTGTTCAATTGGGGAAACGTGCACATATCTCGAGCTAGAAAGAGGTTGTTTTTGTCGGAAGACACTTCCAAGGAATCGGTACTTCAGCAAGTTAAGGAAGCTCATTCATGGGCTCGAGAAGAGTATGTTAAAGCTGGAAAGAGATATGAAGGGGCTTTAAAGTTCAAGCCGGACTTTTATGAAGGTCTACTTGCACTCGGGCAACAACAGTTTGAGCAAGCAAAGCTTTCTTGGTATTATGCTATAGGAAGTGAGGTAGATTTGGATAGTTGGCCTTCGACAGAAGTTCTGGAGCTTTTCAACCATGCCGAGGATAATATGGAGAAGGGTACGGAGATGTGGGAGGAGATTGAGGGCCAAAGAATTATGAATCTTTCGAAGCCAAACAAGGAGAGAGATCTCTTGAAGAAAATGGGTTTGGATGGGTTTTTTAAGGATGTGTCGAATGAAGAAGCTTCTGAACAAGCTTCAAACATGAGATCTCAAATTAACCTCTTGTGGGGAACTATGCTTTATGAACGATCAGTGGTGGAGTTCAAGTTAGGTCTTCTAGTATGGAAGGATTGTCTGATGACATCTGTTGAGAAGCTCGAACAAGCAGGGGCTTCACCGACGGATCTTGCTGTTATGATCAAGAACCATATCGCCAATGAAACGAACCAAGAAGGTAATGCCTACCTTTTTGTGCTATAATATTGTATATTTAATATTGATGTCAAAGGACAATGTCGCTGCTATAAAACTCTGAAGTTATGGAGAGAGTTATAGTTTTACATCTAGTGGGGGTGAAACCTGGACTTAGGTAGAGGTATCATTTTCTTTAACCAACATTAAATATGTAGCTCTTGGGATCTGAATGCAGGTTACTCTTCTACCATATCAATATACCCTACCACTACACAAAACTCTGAAGTTATACACACACACACAAACACGCAATTAGTTTACTGTCACTGAGCCTGGCCTAGTGGTAAACGGAGTCTGATATCTAGAGGAGTTCATGTTGAAGATCGAGCTATGACATTCAGTCTCATTAGTGGCCTGGAGACCGGTATCTTTTTATTAATTATTTCTATTTGAAGTGCTAACGCAGTTAGAAAATAGTCGTTGAATTAATTTAGTTCAGGCTTTCTATAGTGCTGATGGCTTCCAATTTGGTGAGATAAGGTCTTTATTATGCTTTTTCTCATTGCAGGTCTCGGTTTCAAGATTGATGGGATAGTTCAGGCTTGGAATGAAATGTACGATGATAAGAGGTGGATAAAAGGTGTTCCATCTTTTCGGCTTGAACCATTGTTTCGACGACGAGTACCAAAGTTGCATGATACATTGGAACATTTATGATTTATATTGGAGTAATAGGTAGCTGTGTCTCAGATCAAAGAGCATTATGGTCTCTGCATTTTTCTTCGCGGTAAGCTGGCTATTAAGTATTTTGGATTTTTTTTTGTTTATTTTTCTTATCATATACCTCTTCATTGTGTGGTTTCTTTTAGTATAGTCTTAAAGTTAATATTTCATTATTTTCTATGGAGATGTAGTCTTTGTAATCTACATAAGTTGCCTCATGGTTCATGACTTCTATTATTCAGTTAGCTAATATTTCATTGTTGACACTTCTAAGGTGTGGCTAGATGGTTTCTTGTCATACACTTGCTAATAGTTATTAATTTTATATTGATTAGATAAATTTTTACTCCTTGGTATTTCCTTAGCCATGATTGTGCAAAGAGAAAGCCTCTTAGAAAGATGCCACTAACACGAACACATTAGATCCTAACATTATCTGATGATGGTAAGGTATCAAGTGGTCCCCCTAACCCCCCCCCCCTAAAAATAAATAAATAAATAAATGAATAAATAAATAAACCACCCCAACCTCCAAACAACAAACCCACTACCCCAAAAGGGTAGAATGACACTTGAGTAAAGTATGCACTTGTTATGTGGGAAGATTATTCATTTGTAGTCAATTGGTTACCTTTTACCTAAGAAAATTAGTTGTCATGTAGATGAATTTAAGTGTTTTAACAAGTAATTGTTATATGAAACTAATGAATTGAAAAACCTAATTATTTATTGCTGAAATCTCTTGGGCTTATATAGGCCCCTACAAACACAACCTTACACATAACCCCCTACATATTACTAATATGTCAACACTCCTCTTCAAGATGGGCGAAATATATCCACTAAGTCCATCTTGTCACATCCTCTAATCATATCTACCGGACTAAGTCTCTTAGTCAGACAGTCTACTGTCCGATCCTTAGTTGGAACATGACTTAACTCTAGTAGTCCACTATCCAACTTCTCTTTGATGAAGAACCTATCGATCTCGATGTATTTGGTTCTATCATACTGCACTGGGTTGTTGGCGATACTGATGGCTGACTTGTTATCACACCATAGCTTCATCTTGGCTCTTTGATCCAGCTTTGGCTCTTTGATCTAGCTTCAGCTCTACTAGGATACTCTTCAGCCACAACAACTCTGCAACTCCTAAGGTCATAGCTCTATACTCTGCCTCAGCTATCGATCTAGCCATCACTGACTGTTTCTTGCTCTTCCACGAGACCAAGTTGCCTCCTATAAAGATACAGTATCCTAAGGTGGACCTCCTATCATCAGCACAACTAGCCCAATCAGAGTCACAGTAACCCTTAATGCTCACATGTTCATTCTTCCTGAATATCAGCCCTTTTCCGGGGGCACTCTTTAAATACCTCAGAATCTGATACACTGCATTTATATGATCTTTCCTCGGATCATACATGTAGCGGCCCACCACGATTACTGCAAAGGAGATATCGGAATGTGTGTGACTCAAATAGATCAACCTGCCCACCAGCCTCTGGTATCTATTACGATCAACTGGTTCTCTAGCCTCAGCCCCCAGCTTGAACTTCTGGTCGATCGGTATAGTTACAGGTTTGCACCCTAATATCCCTGTCTCTTTGAGAAGATCTAGTGCATACTTCCTTTGGGAGAGGACAATCCCCTCCGCTCCTCGAGCTATCTTCATTCTAAGAAAGTATCGAAGCAAGCCAAGATCTTTCACCTTGAATTCCTTACCCAGTCTCACTTTGAGTTGGGCAATCTCCTTCTCATCATCCCCTGTAATAATCATATCATCTACATATACCGCAAGCATGATAATGTGACCTCCATTCCGTCGAAAGAACACGGTATGATCGGCGTTAATCTGTTGGTACCCCATACCTATCATAGCCCTTCTGAATCCGTCGAATCAAGAATGGGGAGACTGCTTCAGCCCATAGAGAGACTTCTTCAATCTGGAGACCTTGTTCACTGTCTGATCTGTGTCGAATCCTGGTGGTATCTCCATGTATACCTCTTCCACTAGATCTTCATGAAGAAATACATTCTTCACATTTAGTTGGTGTAACTTCCATTCACCATTTACTACCAGAGAGATCAAGGTCTGAACAATGCTCATCTTCGTCACCGGTGCAAAAGTCTCATCATAGTCGATGCCATATGTCTGATTATACCTTTTTGCCACTAGAAAAGCCTTGTAGTGCTCAACTTGTCCATCTAGGTTCTGCTTCATAGTGAAGACTCACTTGCATCTAACTGCTCTCTTTCCTTCTGGTAGTCTTACTAACTCTCAAGTACGGTTCTTCTCAAGCACTGTTTTAAAAAACTTACGCTTAGTCTGCTTAGGCGTACGCCTAGGTCTAGACGGTACCTAGACCGCCTAACTAGCGCTTAGCACCTAGGCGGTATTTAGGCTGCCCACCTAGATTTTACGAGCGTTTAGGGGAGCATTGTCTACTTACGTGTATTGCACCCTGTAGGTCTTGATTGTGATTTTGTGTCGTAGCCTACACGTCCTCCAAACTCTATTAACCTCCAAATATGAACACATTCACTACCTCCTCCGATCTTCAGCAAAATCTCATAGATCACTACTTAAATGAAGAAAGAAAAAAAATACCCAGAAACCGCTTAGGCGCCCGCCTAGGCGACTAAGCGCTGGGCGCCAAGTCCGACGCCTAGAAGCGCCCAGCGTTTAATGTAACATTATTCTCAAGAGCCCCTAGCTTCTCGTGCATAGTCATTTTTCACTTTGGATCCTTCTTAGCAACCTGCCAATTGTTAGGTACAGTAACAGAATCCAATGATGCAATGAATGCCCTATGTGCAGTAGAGATGTTAGAATATGATACAAACTGGACAAGATCCTAACCATATTTATCGGGAGGATTTTTCGTATTACTGCGAGTAGTCCTCCGTACTGAAATTGGTGTGGGAGGAGTAATGAGAGGAATGATATCACCTTGGGAGGAATCTGATGGTGGTGTAGGTGTCTCAGGGGTCGGGGAATGCGTTAGCAAGGGACTTGGCACTAGTGACACTGTAGGTACTGTTCCTACAGTTTGCTTCCCCTTCCTACTATAGGTAAGTAGCTCCTCCTGAACCGTGGGCCTAACACCTCTTGTCTTATTCTCCTCTTCTTCTTCATTCTCCTGCTCCTCCTCAATAAATTCTTCCTCCTAAGGAATCGATAGAGAAATCAATTTCTCCATATTATTCTCCACATTGTTCACCTGTCTCTCATCATTCTCCCCCTCTCGCCTCATACTTCCAATATCGGGCGAGTCACCAACGGATGAAGTTACCTCCCGGGTGTAATATAGCTCGAGTTCTCGAAAATGTACATCCATGCTCACAAACAGTCTCTTCTCCACCGGACTCCAGCAAACATATCCCTTCTGAGTAGCAGAATATCCCACAAAGATGTATTTCGCCGCTCTAGGGGCAAGCTTCCCGACGGATGGCCTGTTATTCTTCACAAAGCACACACAGCCAAACACCTTCAGTGGAAGAATCTCACCATTATTTCCCTTCAACGTCTCACATGGAGACTTCCAATCCAGCACTATCGAGGGCATTCTGTTGATCAGCTGAGCTGCGGTCAACACTGCTTCCCCCCATAATGTTTCTGGGATATTCATGGAGATCATCATGTTTCTAGCAACCTCTAAAAAGTGTCCGTTCTTCTTTTTCGCTACCCCATTCTGAGCTGGTGTGTATGGGCATGCAGTCTGTTACTGTATTCCCTGAGCTGACAAGTATTCCCTAAGCACTCTCTTAGTATACTGTCCCATTATCATACCTCAATACCTTCATCACTGCTCCGAATTGAGTTTGAACATACATATGAAAGTTTTGGAAGCAATCAAACACTTCACTCTTATTTTTCATCAAGTATAACCAAGTAACGCGAGAAAAGCAATCAATAAAGGTAACAAAATACTTGTATCCATTCATAGTACTTGTGGAACAAGGCCCCCAAACATCTGAATGTATCAGGTCAAATGTATGAGAACTTCTATGACTAGAACTAACATAAGAGCTTCTAGTAAGGTTTCCAAACTCACATGCATCGCACACAAGTTTTTGTTTATTTGATTTTTCAAATAAAGATGGATACAACCTACTTAAAACATTAAAGAATGAGTGTCCTAAGCATTGATGATGAAGCATCAACACACTCTCAGCATTTATCTCAGATCCTACTCTTGCTCTCTCTACCATTGATACCAACGCCGAGTCCAGCCCTTCACGATCCAGGTACCACAGTTCACTACTCTATGTGCCAGTCCCAAGTCTCCGTCCTGTCCCCTTATCCTGGAAGACCACCTTAGAAATGTCAAAAGAAACAATACATTTTAGTTGGAGTATGATAGCACTAATGGATAAAAGATTGACTGGAAAGAAAGAAGCATGCAAAACATTGGATAAAGTTACAGAACATGTATAATTGACTGTACCCTTACCAATCACTGGCTGAAATGTACCATCAGTTGTTTGGATACTATCAGCCGATGCTAGGTGAGTATATGATGAGAACTCACTAGCATTACCTGTCACATATCGAGACGCACCGGAGTCGACTATCCATTCTAATGATCTATCAGGAGCTATAGAAGCAAGAACATGTATGTCATCAGTACCTTTGGTCGGATGAGCATAAGTAGTAGTGTTACCTTTAGCGAAGAACGAAGTGGATGCCTCCTCAGTTTCACTCCTGTCTCCATCTCCTGCTACTTTCTGCTTCCTCCTGAGTATCTCCAGGAGCGCATGATCCTCCTCAGTAAAGACCAGCTCAGCTGCTTCTTCTCCCTCTGCTACTATCAGATTCGCCCAGTTGTCTGCTCCTCTTCCACCTCGTCGACCCCTACGGTCACGACCACGACCTCTAAACTGTCCACGTCCATCCGAATCTTCTTCCTTGGGTGGCTTGGTGCAAGCATGCCTTAGATGACCCACTTTACCGTAGTTGTAGCACTGTTGAGTCTCCCCCTTGGATCCACTATTGCTAGAGGCCGTCAGTACTGACTTCACCCAGAAAATCCACATGTCCCCGCCTGCAGCCTAATACGAGTCTCCTCCTGAATCATGGTCGAGACTGCCTCCTCAAGTGTGAGAATCTTCGGCTGAGCTAGCAGCAATGTAATCCTCTGAGCAAACTCTGATGTCAGCCCCTTGAGAAACACCATAGTCCTCTCCTATAGAAAGACCTCTCGCTCATTACACTCCGGGTCCTTACAGCTCGCCCGAGGTGAGAAGTGATCATAATCTAACCACAGACGCTCTAGCTCTGTGGCATACTCCTGTACAGTCCTCTCTTCCTGGACTGTGGCGTCGATCTCTCCTTTGATCTGGAACACCCTCAGGTTATTCCCCACCCCATCATAGGTCCTCCTCAACTTCTCCCAGACATCCTTCACCTTCTCAATGTCATCCACAGTGGCGACGATCGATTGGACCAATGAGTTGAGGAGCCATATGTACACCAACATATGAGTGGACTTTCACTCATCTCTTCTCGCCAAGCCCTCAGCCGGCTCTGTCTTTTCTCCTGTCAAGTATCCTTCTAGGTTCCTTCCTATAAGGGTGTATTTCACCCGCCATGACTAGCCCAGGTAAGTAGCCGGTCCATCAAGCTTCAGATCGATGAGTGGAAGTTCCAACTTCGCCGGTAGTCTTGTTGTGCTCTCACCAGCCGACAACTTCATCAACTGCATCAAAGTTGAGACCTCCGCGGGGTTCAACTTCTTGATGATCTCCTCCATCGATCTAGATCAACAACTGGTTCTCCTTCTCTTCGAACCCTTATTGTTCGTAGTGAAAATTTCGACAACACTTCTGTTGCACAACAAGAGTAAGATCTCAACTAAATTCTCGTTTCTCAAAGAAAATAAGAATCGAAAGTGATATATCTCAACACCGTGAGATATACACTCTTCCTCTCATTAGTTCTAGGACTAAAATATCGAGGGAATCTAACAAGCTACACATCATCGGCACCGCCACCTTGTTAGACCCTAGAGAGGGGTGATTAGGGTCTTATGCTAATCTAATCCGATTTTATGTCAATTAAAACTAATTAACAAGTTATTCTTACAAGAGAGATATACAATATGTTATGAGCAAGAATATGCAATATGAACAAGAGATATATCCTATATGGTAAAATATACTATGAGATATATGCGAGGATATACAATAAACACAAAGGTAAACTATCTAAACTAGATAGTGGGCAATATAAACAACAAGCAATATACAAAGACGATATAAGATATGAGCATAAGAAAGGTGCGCCAATGCAATCACAAATAAACGATATGATCACGGAGTTCGGATCTTTCGTCCTACGTCTCCGCTCCCCACTCCCGGAGAGAAATCCACTATCACAACCGGGTTTTTTACGCTCACCCGAATAACGTTTACACCCCATAATTTCATTCATGGAGTTCGGTCCCCATGACCTACGTCTCCGCTCCTCACCTTGAGGAGATCTCCACTACACACTCGATTTTCTAGCTAACCGAAAACTTTATAATCTCACAATATAATAAATGATTTGTTCTCTACAATAGATAAGAACTCAATGAAAGCTCATACTCAATTGTTACAATTCTCACCAACCCAAATATACTATATATGAAAATACAATAAGCTCAAGTGGATGTGTAAACAATGAGTGAA